GCTTTCCTGTTTTGGACTAGCGCCTGGGCCAAAATCCCAACAAGTATTATAAATCTAATATAAAGACTTACTAGTAGTATTTCTAATTACTAGATTATTAAAATTTAAAATATATAAATTTTTATTATCTGAATCTGCTTTGTATAGGATAACATATTTAATAAATATTTTAATAATCTATTTTATAAATAATATTATTATAACTATTTTAGAGTTATTCTTTTCTTTATTAGCTCTTTTTTTAAAGAACTAGATATCTTTTATATAAAGAATCCATCCTACCAGACATGAGATTAAATCAATATATTAATACTTTAATAAACTATAATCTCTTAATCTATAATATATATAAATATTATTAATATACTTTAGCTTTATATTACATATCTTTATAACATGGTTTTCAGAAAGAATATCTTTTTCTGGATAGATAACTGTCTTCTACTATTCTTTAATAATATTAAATTTATTTAATAAATTTCTACTTTTATTTCTACTGATAACAGTAGTATTAATTTTACTTAATTTATATTTCTTACTTTCTTTAATAACGCTCCTGTAAAGCTCTTTAAATTATATTTTAATATAAGTCTTTTCTATATTTCCTAAGATTATATATTTCTATATTAATATCCAGATAAAGAAGTCTATCTATAATTCATATAATAATTTAAAACTTGCTAAATATAATAATAACAGGTATTCTAGCTCATTTACAAGATTATAGATATTATTAAAATTATTAATAAATTAATATATAGTAGAGTAATCAGAACATGTAATTCTTATTAATCTGATAATAATAATTTAATATTTTATTATATTATAATCTAGTATAATGCTTCTTATAACTTTATATATATTATTAATATAATTCTTTTCTTTTTTAGATTTTCTAAACTTTTTTTTTACTTTTTTTAACAGCTAGCCAGTCAGCCAGGACTGTATAATTTATAAATAATTATACTATTCTTTATAATTTTCATAATTCTTATTTAGTTTCAGAAGCTTTAAATTAATTAAATTCTTTAATTTAATATTCTTCAGCATCTGCTTTAATTTAAAATTCTAATTATAGAAATTAAAGCAGTTATATAATAAAAGAGGTAATTCTGACATAATTTTAACAGTAATCCTGAGTAATTAATCTACCTGTATAACTGTTTTCTTAATTTCTTTATTATATAATAAATCTTTAATATTAATATTGCTTCTTACTTGAAATACTATTTTAGCCAATTTTATGGCTGGTAGCCTGTAGAAAAAGTAATTTAGTATTATATAATATAATTTTAATATTACCAAGACCAGCATATTTCTGTTTACTATTATTACAGTGGCTGTAGATTCTCTGCCTTATTTAGTATTAATAATCCTGTTTAACAGTTCTGAATAGCTTCACGGTAGAAAGAGCCGGGCTCATAACCTATTAGAATATCTACTCATAGGAAGCAAAGAAAGGGCAGAAAGTTGTTTATATTATATTCCTATCTAAAGATTGCGCAGCGAGGGTAGAAGTAGGGGTTATTTAGTATGTAGGGGTCACGTGACTAAGGCTACTAGTATTACTGCTTCAACATTTCATGTCACAGCTTAAGACTATGTATGTGCCACCTACCCGCGTTTCGCAGTCCACGATGATTGGAGATTCTCTTCCGTTCTCATCAGCTGCTTCTGCATCTACAAAGGGACTTGCTACTTGCCAAACATAGGGTTCGATATATTACTCCTATATCGCCTTGTTGTCGACAAGAATATCAGCTCGTTTCCATTCTGGTGTTCTATGCCTCTTACTCGGTTCAACACTAACAAACATCGAAAAAAAAAATTACCCGTGTCACTGCAGACTAGTATATACTTAAACCTTAGTACAAGGGCTCTTACAAGGCGTGCTGATGATGTATGAGGTTGGAGTGCCAGAGCGTTCTGGATTACCCCACTCGGTAATACCGATATACTGGGTCATGTGACAGAGCAAGCCATGAACAACACAACGGAGACAACACTGGCATAACATTCTGAGAGTTCAGACAGCCAGATAATTGAGCTACATCTGTTAGTCACACATGTAGCCATTGAGGTTCAAATATTAGTGTTGCTCGAGCGTTGGATTTGGGCAATGAGCTCAGCCATCCAATGGTGGTGGTTCCAGTAAGGTGTTTCTTGCCAAGCCCGTGCAACACCCGCACAGCCATGATATGATGCAAGTGTCTAGGCTGCACAATATACTTCCCTCCTCCATTCCTTGCTTAACTCTCACCACGATGTTGGGTGACAGGTAGGTGTGACAGAGGAGATCCATTGTCAATAATTTTCTTCACGGCTGGCTAGACTGACAACACTGTCCAACATGTACACGAGGAATTTTGAGGTGGCAGACGGGGCGACGTTGGCGGCAGTAATTTGGCCATGACACCTGCCCAACGAAAACTCACAAATATCCTCACAATGACGATCCATAAGACAATAAATAGAACAAGATATAGCGCGAAGAAAAACGGCCGAGTCAGTGTGTACCTGGCAGAGCTCATGGGTGGACGCCCCGCAGAGAAAGAAAAAAACAGGCGAGTTAGAGAGAAGAGAAGAAGAGAGAGGGCTGGGCTTTTTTACCAGCCACCGGTTTAGATTGACATCTCCCCTCCGATCGATCAAATCCCCATCCCCATCGTATATTAGCATTACGCCTTTCGTTGGGCATTGTCCTCTGCCCCGTACTCCCATTTTTTTTTTTCTTCCTTCTCCTCTTCGTCCTCTCCCCCCTCTTCCTACATTCCTCATATTCCCATTCTTCCATTCTTTCACCTCCCTATTGTTTCGTCGGCCCCTTTGCTTAGCGGGTATCCCGATTGTTTACTCCACCGGCCGATCTGTAGTTATACTGCATAGTACTTATATTATCTCCGACTTATATACCCCGAAACGTGAGGAAAATTACCAGTACCAAGGCAGGGCTACTACTAGGCTTCCGCCACCTGCAGTGCATACTTTGCCAACACTGCCTTCAACTGCAATGCTATACTACTAATCGAGGCGTCACTCCGGTTTTTGATCAATTTGAATCAATTACAATCATATACTTCCATCGCCATCATTTCACGGGGTAATTGTTTCAAGTGGACCAGTTGAATGCGCCACAGTGACTACGTATCAACTGAGCCAACGAAGGACTAACACCGATCCGAAACACGCCTCCAATTCATTCGCTGGCTAGAGCCTCCTTGAACAAGCGGAGCTGCTAGTAACACATTTGCTGCGTTTGCTGCGAGTTACACCGCAAACATGGCTACAGATCGCTTCCCCGCCCCTCCCACGGAAGCTTCCACGTATCTGCAGCAGGCGCCCACCAATGGTATTTATACAGCTCCGTCGCACAAAAGACAGCCATCCCATGTTGTGAAGTCCGCTGCGCCGGATTACTACGAGGATAACGACTTTTACGCCAACCCCAACAATTCAAGGCCACCGCCGCCCTACCCAGCCAATTCTAGCAGGGTTCAAAGCCACCATAGGTCGCGTTCATATTCTACCAGAAGCAAAAGCTACAGGAGAGACGTGTATCCAGAAGACAACATGGAAGAAGGAGAAAATTTACCAACGCCGGACCGCCCAGTATGGTCTGAAAAGCGCTCGAAATCATCGGCCACGAGAGCTGACAAGCACGGCGCTGAGGCACAAAAGGCCTCTTTATCCTCAAATAGTCAGCCATCCCCAGTAAGTCGGTCGAGCACAGTCCGCTCTGCAACCGAACAGCGACGGGACTGGGCATCCGATCGCTCGCCGCTTCAAAAGCTCGAGACCACTTATACGGGTGCGAGCAAGGAAGAGAAGCGGGCACGGGCTTTAGAGGCTGAAATGAAACTGAGGGAACGGATGAAACGGCAGACTGAGAGTCGTGCGGCAGCAATGGCGCAGCCTTCTGACTCACTAGAGAGCGTTGATAAGAGAGCAGTCCCCGGACGAATGGCCGAGCCAAGACCAGCACAGGGAGCAAAGCGATCGCATCATCGGCATGCGGCTTCTGAAGGACACACTGGATACAGTCCCGAAGGGCCAGACTCTTCCGAAAGAGCCAGGCCGCCTCGCAGCCGAATGCCACCTTCACAAGACGCCGCAGAGCGCGCTTTTGACGAGATTCAGGACTTCAATGGGGTCCGGCCAGATGGGCCGATGGCACGAACCGGCAACGCTCCCAGGCGAACGGTATCTGTGAGCCACCCTCCGCAAGGACCACCGATGGGCCCGCGAGCAATGAATCAGGGCAAACAACGAGATGCACAACCGTATCCATCTATTTCTGCGGCTCCCGACTCGGCGTTTTCTGATCAGTCTAGAATGGCCGTCCCGGCCAGGAAGGCCGTTCCAATTCAGCCCAGCACCCGTGCGCCACCAGTTGCCAACCCGGCGGCTTATCAAGGACCGACTACCCAGCAGGGAGTGTTGAAGAATCCTACTGGAGCAGCACCTACCAAGGCTAGCGTAGACAGTGGACTGGATGTAAACAACCCAATAATGTCTTCTGCTCCAGCCGAGACAAATCTGCCGTCTAAGCCCAAGGTCTCGTTTAACGTGCCCCCGCCAACACCTCCCCCTCTCTCTGAATGGAGGACTGCAGCTATAGCTAGGCTGGGAGCCTCTGATTTCGACTTCCAACGTTTTGATGCCGATCGGAGTAAGGCCTGGTGGGAAACTGGTGAAAGCAGCAACCGCAGACTCAGTCGGGCCCTACCCAACAGCTTTGCCCAGAAGCCGTCTGCTCAGAAGCCAACAAGTAAGCAGCAAGAAACTAGATCATCAATTCAAAGCTATCTGATTGCTGACCACGCATTCTATACAGGTAACAAGCGCTTTCAGCCATCAATCTTCTTACAAAGCGGACCTCTGCTCCGCTACGCCGGCTTGAAGCGGGTCCGAATTGATGGTCCCAATGGGCCATTTAACAAGGAGACCTGGAGAGGCAGTGTCCTAATCGTCACACAAGACTCACTCTCCTCCTATGAGCCGCGTCCAACGTTGAGGGTGTTTGCTCAGCCCATGGACCTTCTTGCTCCCCCGCCTGTCCAGGTAGGAGGGGAAACTTCTCAACTGGCACCCGAGTACGTTGACCCAACCGCAGGATTGATGAAGTTGGGCCGGGACGGTAGACCTCTGTATGTCAAGCCTGTAGAGCATACTGCGGAAGGAGAAGATCTGTCATTTGTTGAAAATGACGATGGAATTTTTGAATTGTCCCCAAGTATTATGGACTACAGCAGTGAGGGTGTCAAGCAGCCGGTCCCGGCCAATCGCATCCACTCCATGGACGGAGAGACTGCTGGAAGCTACAAAGAAATCACAGGCGCTCGTCTCTATGCTGATCCCGGACGGGACGTCACGTTCTGGAAATTCAACATTGAGATTGAGTTGGGCCCGACTCAGCAGCGGGTCGCGTACCGTCTGAATCATGGACCGGCTCTAGGCTTTTGGGTGCCAGCCAGGGGACAGTCAATGAACATCATGTTCCATACCGGCAATGGATTCAGCCCCGCGGTGGACTCTAACAAGCTCAGCGGCCCAGACCCTCTCTGGCGAGATGTCTTGAATGAGCACCAGACTCGTCCTTTCCACGTCATGATTGGTGGTGGCGATCAGATTTTCAATGACAAGGTCATTGCGGAAACCGCCCACTTCCAGGAATGGGTCAAGATCAAGAACCTGAATGAGAAATACGAGGCGCCCTTTACTGCAGAGTTCAAGGCAGAACTGGAAGACTTCTACCTGGAAAATTATGCCTCTTGGTTCTCGCAAGGATTGTTCTCTCTCGCCAACTCCCAGATCCCTATGGTCAATATGTGGAATGACCACGAGATCATCGAGGGATTCGGCTCCTACCCTGAGGAATTCATGAACTCGCCCGTCATTTCGGGACTAGGAAATATTGCATTCAAGTACTACTTGCTTTTCCAGCATCACAGTGTCCCGGAAGAAACTGAAACTGAGGAGCCTAGCTGGCTGCTTGGTGCCAAGCCAGGACCTTATATCAACCAACGCAGTCGGCATCTGTTCATGTCGCTGGGTGACGGAGTAGCTTTCCTCGGTTTGGATTGCCGAACAGAACGAATGGTAAGTATTTAATGGCGCGTTAGGTACTACTTTGATGCTAACAGCGAACCGCCAGACCGACGAGATTATTTCGGAAGAAACTGGCGAATTGATCTGGGATAGATGCCACCAGGAGATAGTTCGAGGCGAAACCCGACACTTGATTGTGTCCCTGGGCATCCCCCTGGCGTATCCACGAGTGGTATGTCACTGACTCCTGTCTAATCTCCCTCGCGCTATGCTAATGTCTTCGCAGGCCATGGTCAAGAATATCCTCAACAGCCGGAAATCGCTTGGAAAAGCAGGGCTTTTCGGCGGTTTCGTGAACAAGAATGGCGCCAAAGTCGAGATCTTCGATGATCACTGGACTTCTAAGCGGCACAAGGCTGAGCGGACATATCTGATCGAGGACCTTCAGGATCTTGCGGCAGAGAAATCCGTCCGGGTGACCATTTTAAGGTAAGAGCTAGTCTGCCCCTGCAGTGCAGGATATAACTAACCAAGACTGTTTCCAGCGGCGACGTGCATCTGGCGGCGATCGGCCAGTTTTACTCCAATCCCAAGTTGGACGTGCCCAAAGACCGAGACTATCGATACATGCCAAACGTCATATCTTCAGCAATCGCTGACATGCCCGAGACGGAAATGATATCCGACATGCTCAACAAGCGCAACCGCGTGCATCATATGGACACCAACACGGACGAAGATATGGTTCCCATCTTTACCCATGATGTGAATAACAAGCCCCGGAACAACAAACGGTTGCTCCCACGCCGAAATTGGTGTTCTATTCGGGAGTACAAGCCTGGTAAGTTGACCCACTTTTACTATTGCGTCTTTAATCAAGACTGTGTGAAGCTTCGGTGTCTGACCGATTGATAGGCACCACGCCACCCGGAACGCCGCCCGATGCCCCAGCTGAGGAAGAACCCCGACCCGCCAAGCTCAAGAGAACATTGTCTCTCACTCGCGGGGAGAAGCCTCCCCGGACCGGGCTCCTGCGACGACTCTCCCTTCGGGGCCCGCCTCCCACCAATGATTTCAATCTGGGAGAGGCACCACCTGCGCGTCGGATGAGCATGGACGGGGCTTTCCCGACCGCAGACACAGATGATGCAGGTGGACCCAAGCCCGGCCCGTTCCTGCGACGACCCACCAACCTCAGTCAGAAGTCCAAACGGGGTGATGATGGGCTCGGGGCGTTGATCAATCTGGAAGGTGGCCTGGCTATCACGCTTAATCTCGAGCTAAACCCCAAGGATCCGGCAGGGATCACGACGCCATACAAGTTGCTCGTGCCAATTCTACGCTACGAAGACATGGAGTACGATCCGCCTGCGGCATCAGTGTCTAAAGGGTGGAAGAAATGGCTGGGAGTGCGACGCAAGAAGGCCGACAAAGCGCCGGTGGAAGATACCGACGTCGAGCAGGGCATGACGGATGAGGAAGACGAGGACGATGGGTTTGATGACGAAGATGATGTGCGAGCGAGGTTCGAGATTGCTCAAGGAGGCGTGTTGCCGCCGGAGACACTGGTGCCTGTGAGTCCGGATGCGGGAGAGATGGGAATGGGAGGAGAAGAAGAAGAGAATAAGGAGGTGCCTAAACGGAAAAAGTGGTTTGGACGATCCAAATAGAAGGGAGAGAGGTTCGAGATGCTTTCTGATGAGTGATATGATTCCACGAGTGACGACTGAATAATGTATTCTTTATTTATTCTTGTTCATATGACAATCATGTGATGTGATGCTATAATAGTCCCGACCCTTTCCATTGATAACCAACTGACATAATCGGGTCTCGCCCAGCCCGGTTGGTAAGCAGGCGGTGCACGTGACCGGGTCTCGCCGCGGATGATTTGTGAGCCAGTCGTTCTTGCCCTCTCTTGGTCTTCATCCACCCTTTCCTGACTTGTTGAGTCTGTTTTCTGGTTCCTTCGACCTTATCAATCAGTTCCAAAGGTGCGTCTCAATAATCACACCAACACCCACCTCTCTCTCTCTCTTTTCTCTTGCCCCACTCCCTTGCAATTCTGCGCTTTCCCCTTAGCTAATCCGTGCCGGCCAGCCCTTTTCCCCACCCCTCTTCGCCTCTCCGTTCTGTCTGTCTGCCCAGAGATAATTCATTTAACCCCCCTCTTCGCTCTTCCGCTTTCTCTCTCTTTCCTCCCCCTCCTCTTCTACTCATACTAAAAAAGCCAATCGCTTCCCCCCTTCAACACCGCCAATCTGTTTTCCTCCGCCTTTCGTCGTTTTCCCTTCTCCACCCTTCGTTCCTCTCTTGGATTGACTGCCGCCGCCGCGTCGTCCTTGCAACAAAACTCCTCGCCTTCGGCCTCCGTCCTATCCAATAACCTCAAGGCGCCCCTGCGCGTCAATTCCACTTCATCCTCCAGAATGGTGCACACCAACGTCGTTAGTAAGTGGATCCCCATTCTTCCTGGGAAATATATGGCAGCCAAGAAAGAACGATGTAAGAATCTAACCGAGTTACACAGTCATCGGCTCCGGCCCCGCCGCCCACACTGCGGCCATCTACCTCTCCCGCGCCGAACTCAAGCCCGTCCTCTATGAGGGTATGCTGGCTAACGGCACCGCCGCCGGCGGTCAGCTTACCACCACCACCGACATCGAGAACTTCCCCGGTTTCCCGGACGGCATTGGCGGTGGAGAGCTGATGGAGAACATGCGCAAGCAGTCCGTTCGCTTCGGTACGGAGGTTATCACCGAGACCATCACCAAGGTCGACTTCTCTCAGAGACCCTTCAAGCTGTGGACAGAATGGAGCGACGGTCCCACTGACGAGCCTGCTCACACTGCTGACGCCGTCATCATCGCCACTGGCGCCAACGCTCGTCGCCTCAACCTCCCCGGTGAGGAGAAGTACTGGCAGAACGGTATCAGCGCCTGCGCCGTCTGCGACGGTGCTGTGCCCATATTCCGCAACAAGCCCCTCTTCGTTATCGGTGGTGGTGACTCCGCCGCCGAGGAGGCTATGTTCCTGGCCAAGTACGGCAGCAGCGTCACTGTCCTTGTCCGTAAGGACAAGCTCCGTGCTAGCAAGGCTATGGCCAACCGTCTTCTGTCCCACCCCAAGGTCACCGTCCGCTTCAACTCCGTCGCCACCCAGGTGCTCGGTGAGGAGAAGCCCAACGGCCTGATGACCCACCTCAAGGTCAAGAACGTCGTCTCCGGCGAGGAGGAGGTTGTTGACGCCAACGGTCTCTTCTACGCTGTCGGTCACGACCCCGCCACCTCCCTGGTCAAGGGCCAGATCAAGCTCGACGAGGACGGATACATCGTCACCCAGCCCGGCACCAGCTACACCAGCGTTGAAGGTGTCTTCGCTTGCGGTGACGTCCAGGACAAGCGCTACCGCCAGGCTATCACTAGTGCCGGTAAGCTTCCCCTCAACCCCCGCATATATGCTAATTGCAACCCACTAACGTTAACTCTCAGGATCCGGCTGCATTGCCGCTCTCGAGGCCGAGAAGTACATCGCCGAGCGCGAGTCCGGCGAGGAGCCCGCCACCTCCACCGAGAAGGCCGCCGTCAAGCCTGCCACCCAGGAGGTCAACGGTGAAGTCAAGCAGGACGGTCAGGGCGCCGCCGCCGAGTACAAGTCCAACCCTCTGCTTTAAGCGATTCATTTCCCTCCCACATCATCGCCATCCCCTATACCTCCCAGTCCTCTTTTCCATATATATTTATTCCCCTCTCTATTATCTATCTAGACCTGGAGTTTTCATTTAGACCGACCTAGACGGATCTGTCATTGTTATGCTCTAGCCAAGGTGGGGCCATGGCTTGTTTTTCTGTGTGTTTGCATTTTCATTTATCCTGTTACCGTGACGGCTGCTTTATATATTAGACTCCAGCGATTCTGTTGTTTTATTTGTTCTGTGATACACGGGATTGTTCTTTTTCAAAGATGGGGTTTTTTCGATGATTCGATCGGTCATCATCCTCGTCGACGATCTGATCTCATGAATGTGAATGTGAATACAAAATAGAGTAGAAAGACGTTATAGAGTAATTTTTCTTTTTACACATATTTTTTTCTCGTTTCTGGTCTAAAAGGGTCATTGTTTCTTTAGTAGAGTCATAATCATACAAAGGATGCAGTTGGATGGGTGTAAACTGTATTGGGTAGGTAGGAGATTGCAGAAGGGTAGTAGGGATGAAAGGGTTTATCGAGCACTATCTCCCAAAGTGCCATTTGTAGTCGCTGTAGCTGGCGCCTCTGGCTGACTAGGCAGCATAACAGATCCGGCAGCAGCAGCAGCCCCGTTAATACTAGCAACAGCAGCATTGGCATCATGCGAGATCAGCGAAGGGCCAGCCTGGTTAGCACTCGCAGACTGATGGGAAGACTCCGAAGCAATGGTTGTACTTGGTTGCTGCGACGACGCAGGCTGTCTCCAGTTTGCAAATGGATTCGCAGCACACCACCGATCCTTGACCTCGTACGACTTCTTCTCCCATTCCGCATTGTCGCGACGCCAGGTATCCCAGATCTTGGCATTGGCCTGTCGATTGACCTCTATCTGCTCCAAGTAGGGTCGTTTCACCTCCTCGCTGGCCTGGCGCCACATGAGGCCTAGCGCTTGACGGATCTCGTCGCGCGCGGCCTTGGCGTTGGGATCGTTGGTTGCGGCTCGGCGGGCTTCGTCACACTGCGTGCGACACTTGCCCCAGTAGTCTTTCTGGTACAGAAGGAACGGGTTAAGCGCGGTGCGTGCTGGTCGTGGGGGTGGCGCACCCAGTTCCTCGTAGATGGCGGCCCACATGGCTTTGTCATACGCTTCCCGATGGAGTGCCTCAGGTGTTGCATTGTTCGCCGTTGCATCAGTGGGGTCGAGCGATGGTCTCTTGCTGTTTGTTGAGGGAGGTTCTTTTCGCTTCTGACCTGTCGTCGCTACGGGTATGCCAAGGCCGACAGCTTTGCCTTTCTCCGGAACAAGCGGTTTGGGCACGTCAATGGGGCCCAGAATGGACTCAATAACCTCAGATGCAGCCCGCAGTCCGGATAGGTATGCCCCATGGACCGTAGCAGGGTGAGTGCCGCAGGTGGCTTCTCCGGCAAAATGCAGGTTGCCAATTGGCTTGGCCATGAGGTCATAATCGCCTGGAAGTGCTTGCGCTGCTACATACGAGTAGCTCCCTCTAGTAAACTTGTCCGTACCCCAGCGAGTTATGATGGTCTCCAAGGGGTCTGGAACAGCCACATGCTTGAAGACATTACGCAGCTGACTGGTCACTTCGGCGATGATTACCGAATCTGCTGTATTCTCGGCTTGATGCGCGGCGTCACCAGCCATGAGAGCAATAAGGACCGGGAGACCAGTGGTCTTTATGCAGTTCCAGAATAGGTAGAACCGGCCACGATTTGCAGCATAGTCCTCCTGCATCATACTGTTTCGGTTGCTAGGTTCACGCAGAAGCCCAAACATATCACGCTCCGTGTCCCAGAAAGGCTGATCAAAGACTAAGATCACTTTGTTCATAATCCCGAAGCCAAGTCGGTCAATCGCACCAACTTTCCAATCCGGGAGCGGAGGAGAGAACTGTATCGAGCGTTGTTTCAGGACACCCAGAGATCCCGTAAAGACAACCTTATCCGCAACGAGAGACTCACCATCCTCGCAATGAACCACCGTCTTCTGCTTGCCTAGTTCTGTATGGCCATAGGATATTCTGCTGACAATTTTGTTGGTACGGACATCAAGTTTTGCAGGCAGCGAGAAGAGCCCGTACGGCAGTTGCTGATATCCACCGATCACTTGTGAGTGCTCTCCCTCAAATTCGTTGCCCATATCCTGATCCCACCCGGAAAGACTGAGCTTGCCAATGTTCGCCGCATTTGCGTACTCCAAATTAGCCATATGCCAATTTAATAGTCGCATGTCTTTCGGGGTCAATGGGAGCATGCGCTGGTACTGTCGCACACCATCATCCATCACGGCGCCTAATGTCGGGAACGGGGAGGCTTTAGCCACATTGTCCAAATTGATGGTCTGGTTCACTGCAACCCCATTGTTTAAACTCCAGCCCATCGTTTGACAGGCAAGGCGAGCTGGGTTTTCCTCGCTGTTGTCAGATTTGGCCAATGAGGCCCCGGCTGGTTTAATGTCGGCGGTTTTGTGGCCAACACCTCGCCGGACGCGCTTGGCAGGAAACAGAAGCCCGATGGTCCCAGCAGCCCTGGCTTCTTCGTATTGTCTTATTGTAAGGCCGTCGCTAGTGGACACATCACGTCCGGAATCGATAAGATCCCGGTCACCTTCTGCTGTTGGCACTATCACGGACTTATGGCGATAATTCCCGGACCGGTCCAGTATATCATTGTAGAGCATCTCGTCTGTTGCGTCCCGCGCTTCATCCACCGCTGAGCCATCTATATCGTAGATTGTAGATATGTCGCGCAATAGATGGTAGGGAAGAGCCAGCTGGCCCCGAATAATCTGGTCCAAAGGATTTCCATGGTCAAAGCCGACAATAATCTGAGCGCCCATTTCAGCCTTGGGAACTAATCCTGGAGCTAAGGTAGAGGACTGAAGGCTTCGCAAAGGATGTGAGTAGATACGACCCCCGATCCTGCGTCTTCCTTCCAGTACTATCACACGGGGCGATGTGAGCGGGTCATGATAATGGTTGAAGAGGCCTTCCAAGTGGCGTGCACACCCCAGACCGGC